GAGTAGGATCCCCTTGGGCTCCAAATTATTTGGCAGGAAGTTCCAGGTCTTCCTTAATCTTTGGAGGCCCTTAAAACACATGAGTACGAAGTTCAGAACAGAACTCTTATATAATAAGGATCTCCCCCAGACTGGAACAAGGACTCCCTAAAATATTGGAAGATCTCACCAGCTTACTCAAATCAGTTTATGTTGAGGGGTGCAGCTGATCGCCCTTAATCTGGGACTATGGTGGGCAGCCCTGTTAGAGTCTACAAAAGGCTCTGGGGTTGGCCCGACGTCCAGAGGGAGTGACCATCTTGAGGCTCAGGAGTGAGCCTCCCACTCTTTACTTTTCTGGAGAGAGGCAGTTTTGTGAGTCATGCCTTCATTCTTCTCTGCCCCTTCCCTGGGAAGCAGAAAATGCCCAGGGCCAGGGCGTGGGGGCAGCAGGAGGGTTCAGAGCTCCCCTTACCCACTCCACTGTGTGTCAGCAACCTTATCCCCCAGCCTCCCCACTGCAGTCTTCGGAGGAGGTCAGCACTTCCCTCTCTGCTCTTTACGAAGAGAAGTATTTTTCTCAGTGCAAAAGCAATATATTAACATTCTATGAATTCCAAATAATAAGGAAATGTAAGAAATAGAAATGTTCCATAATTTGACCCTCTACTCTCTCTAAGATAACCTAAAGTTAACAGTTTAAATATTCTTCCAGGGTCTCCTGGGTGGCTCAGTCAGTTAAGCATCCAACTTTTGCTCAGGTCGTGATCTCATGGTTCATGAGTTTGAGCCCTGCATCGGGCTTTGTGCTGTCAGGACAGAGTCCACTTCGGATCCTCATCCCCCTCTCTCTCTGCCCCTCTGTCACTCCCACTCTCTCTCTCTCTCCAAAATAAATATTCTTCCAGAACTTTTCTTCTCAGTGCCTGTATGTATCTATACATATGTAATTAACAGAATACAAATGCAAATACATATTTTCTATTGTAAAAATGCCATTTTACAGGGCACCTGAGTGACCCAGTCAGTTGAGCATTCGACTTCAGATCAGGTCATGATTTCATGGTTCGTGGGTTCAAGCCCCATGTCAGGCTCTGTGCTGACAGCTCAGAGCCTGGAGCCTGCTTTGGATTCTGTGTCTCCCTCCCTCTCTGCCCCTCTCCTGCCCTCTCTCTCTCTCTCAAAAATAAATAAACATTAAAATGCTTTTTAAATGTGATTTTACAATACATGCTGTTCTTGATATGTTTTTCATTTAATACACTAGGTGTTCAATAGATATGTATTGTACGGATGCACCATAATTCATTATTCAGTCCCATACTAGAGAAGTTTTGAGTTCTGTCCAAACACCCTTCCAATACACATAATTGTATATAAAAGACATCATTGAAATACATAGCGACAGCACATAGAGAAACATAAAGCATACCTACATCTGATAAATATATACTTAAATATACCAACAAACCACACATGCTGTGGAGAAGAGTTGTGGGTGCCCTCTGATGTATTTCATAGATATTCCTGGTGTATATGTTGATATAGTAGCCTCAAAAAGTAAATACATTCAGCCAAGTGTTTTAGAATCTTTGGGGATAGAAAGTTGCTATTCTGCATTTGTTCCTAAAGTTTTGATATTGGCTTTAAGTCTTTGGCAGGGCATCTAGACCAAAATAAGAACCAGAATCCAACAGTGGTAACAAAGGGCAACAATTAATTTGAGAGAGAACAGCAAAATTATCTACTTCAAATTCTTTTTAGAATAGGAAGGAAAGAATGATTGGGGGCCAGAGAAAAAAGGAAGAAAGGAGAGAGAAAAAAGAAAAATGCTTTCTCCTGATGGATATTTGAACTATTCCTGCCTGATTCCATGGCATAATAATTGTAGGTCTTTTAAAGGGCGTAATATTATGACAGATTTCCCTCCCTTACTTGTTCCTGGGGCTCCACATGCACAATTTACTTCCTGCCACGAGGCTGGAGGCTGGCCCCTCCTGGGTTAGTCCGAGGAAGCCCAAAGTTGCCCACACCCAAGAGAAGGAGGGGGGCGTCCACAACCCCTATGCATCGTTATGCTTGCTGAAGTCCCCCGTGCAGGTCGGCAGCGAGTGAAGATGGTAGGGAGGTTGCTACTGCTGCAGACTATGGGCAGTAACCCAGGACAGGCAGGGGGTGCATCTCGGCCCTCACCAGGGCTTGAGGACAGTCACCCCCATCCCCGGATGAAGACCCTGACTGCTATGGTGGCTGCATCAGGGACAAGTAACCCAGGTCTGTGGTCCCCCACATTGCTAGGTAAAAAAAGAAAGAGGCTTTTATGACTTTCCCTTCTTTACCAAAACAAAGTGCTTCAGTGGGATCCTTCAGCTCTGTGAATGCAAACCAGGGCCTGGTGGACTGGGGAGAACAATTAGACCAGACACTTAGCGCATAAAAGCAAAAGAGGGTAGAAATCTAGACAATAGTGCTGAAGTCTCGGGTGGGGCGGAGGGGGGAACGGATATGATAGCGAGGAAGGAGTTTCAATGTGAATGAATACTAATTAGTGACATGGATATTAATGATGACAGTAATTAACAGGGGAAAGGAAGGGCTGTCATTGTCCCAGGGTGAGTAATCAATCTTGGCAGGTGATAAATAATGGTTCAGCAAGCTCAGCAGAAAGATAATCCGCCTGCCCCGGGGAGAGCTGTTGCTGATGCTGGAAACCTATCCGTTTCCAGGCAACCCACAAAAAAGAACTATTTTTCTTTTGAGGAAAAAACAGGTTAGAGTCTCTCCCCCACCCCCAACTTGGGATTACGGTTCTTATTTGATTTCTGCTTTGTTCTTCATTTCCTAGGACAAATGTTGAACTTGTATAATTTGGAGGAGACGACACACACGCACAAGCACACACAGACATAACTCTCCTTTCTCTCAAAGAATGTGAGTGAATAGGAGTGTTTTTGATCCAAAGTTTAGCTCATAGATGCCATCCGGGAGCAGGAGTGGGGAGACGCTTAGAAGTTCTGCTTTTGAGGTTGAAACGGGGGCACCTTGCAGGGCTGCGCCAGTGGAGGCTGGTCCTGGGGGAGCGCAGAAATAGATGGGGCCCTGGTTGTCTACGGTGCAGATTTCATTCTCTCTCCAGACAGCCAGAGAGAAACAGACCTGTGCTGTTCTTACCTCTGGCAACCAGTCAGAGTTCTGGGAAACTTTATTTCTGGGGAAAGGGAATGCTTGTTGAAGACCTCTGCTAGCTCTCCAGGTTTTCAGCTAGGAGTCTACTCCAGGAGAGCTATGGGCAGACCAACAGGACTCAGACATCCAGAAATGTTGGCCTTTTCAGGCTGCTTTCCATCAAATGTTCCATTCTGAGGTGACAAAGCCACCTTTGAAGATCAGCCCTGGTTTAAAGTGAGATGGTTGAGTGACAAAGGTCAACTGACTGGAATTTCAGAACCTTCCAGAAATTTGGACTCCTCTACTCCCATGTTGGCTCCAGGCACAACATTTTCAGAGGGAGGCAAACAAAAGGAAACATATTCGGAGAATTGTGACTACCATGGTGAGGGTCTCTAGGTCATGTCATGGGAGTAAACAGCTGAGGGGCCCAGGCATGTGTCACCTTGAGGGGGGAGAAACTCAAGAAGAATGTTGGTAGTATATCGGACGGACTCTCTCCAGAGCAAGAAGTCTGGGTTTGTTTTTCTTTTCTTTTTTTTTTTTTAAGTTTTATTTATTCCTGAGAGAGAGAGACAGCATGAGCAGGGGAGGGTCAGAGAGAGAGGGAGATACAGAATCTGAAACAGACTCCAGGATCTGAGCTGGCTGTCAGCACAGAGCCCAACGCGGGGCTCGAACCCACGAACCGTGAGATCATGACCTGAGCTGAAGTTGGACGCTTAATCGACTGAGCCACTCAGGCACCCCCTGGGTTTGTTTTTCTATCATCAAGGGGCAAAATTAAGTCCAAAGAGAGGATTTCAGAGAGGGTCGAATTTCTGTTCTGAGAAATCAAAGATGATTTCACTGGGACAGGCTGACTAGGAGGGGATCTGTAATTCTCAGGTACTAGGATTTTTCCAAGTGGAGATTATGGTGCCTCTTGTCCAGGGTATTATAGATGGGGCTCCTATATTGGCGAGGGCTGGAGTAGATGTGCTTTAAAATTTCATTCGACTCAGGATTTTATATTAGTTAAGGTAGGCCTTGAAGTCAAAACAAATAAATCTGGGGCTTAACACAATAAGGTTTATTTTTTAATCAAGTCAGAGCCCAAAATGGGCAACAATTTTTATGGTTGTTCAGGAACCCAGACTCCTTCCACATTGTGGCTCTGCCCGCCCCTGTGTTCTTGGGGTTCTCTCCATTCAGCCAGCAGATAGGGAAGGAAAGGGTGTGGAGGATCACATGGAGGTTTTTATGGCCCAGGCCTAGAAGTGGTGGATGTTGTTTATAGCCATATTCCATTGTAAGAACTCAGTCTATACCCAACTGCAGAAGAGTCTAGAAATGTAATCTAGTGGCCCAAGGAATAGAGGAAAGAGGTTTCAGTGAACACATAGAAGTTTCTCTCCAGAAACAGGGGCATGTTCATTTAAGATGGGCCCATATCAGAAAAAATTAGAGATTTGTTACTGTTGCTGCTGTTGTTGTTGTTAGGAACCTGTAAGGTCACCTGTGTTAGTCAGGCCTTGTCAGTTAGGGGAGGGAGCTGAAGAGACCTCCTCCCTCAGGAAATATCCTGGGGTTCAGGTGTGGTAAAATTTCCCCTAACCTGTCTCAGGGAAGTCATCAAAATCTGTATTTGCAAGAAGTTCCCTGTAGATACTCCCTAGAAGTGTGGACACAAGATCATCCTGAGTCATCAAAAGTGGATTTTTTTGGAAAAGAATGAGATTGTGACTATGGAAGCATACCAATGGATAGATGTGGTTAGTTAGGATGGAAAATTGTCAATATTATCCAGCCCTTTGGGTGTGTGCTAATTGGAATTAGGGGGGTTTTAGGTGAACATGTTTCTTCTGCCACAGAGTCAAGCATCATGATGTCTTCAGTTCAAATTGCTTTATCATTTCAGGTACGGACATTGTGCAGTGGCTTATGAAGAACCTCTCCATTGAGGACCCAGGTACTTGACCCGATTTTATCCTCTGTGGTATTGAAAAACATCCCATAAACGAGTTCCAAACCAGATTTTCCCATCTGTCTAAGAACTGGGCTTATATCTGTATATCCTGGGGCACTTGGGTGGCTCAGGAGGTTAAGCATCTGACTTCTGTTTAGGTCATGATCTCACAGTCCATGAGTTCAAGCCCCTCTTTGGGCTCTATGCTGACAGCTCAGAGCCTGGAGCCTGCTTCAGATTCTGTGTCTCCCTCACTCTCTGCCTCTCCCCAGTGCATGCTCTCTACCTCTCTCTCTCTCTCAAAAATAAAGAAACATTAAAAAAATAATAATAATAAATATGAATCCCAAGATGTGGAGGCACTCTATTTGCAAATGAAATTAATTTATTTTCTCCACTGAATATCTATCTTTAAATCTAAATCACCCTTTGAGGAAATGAGCAATTATTTAGAACGCCAAAGAGCCCAATACAATAACATGTGAAATGAGATGAATTCTTGTTAGCCACAGCAATTAAAGAGAAGTTGTAGCACTGTCACTGAACAGCCTTCTAGAGCCAGCTCTTAAAATTAGATTGCCTGATCCACAATTAAGATGTTTAATTATTTGCTAAGACTCCTTCTGTTTTCTGCTTCTGCAGGAAGTGAAAGAATGATTTTTTTTCCCCAACCTTAATTGTGCATTTCAATTAGGAAAACCCTCCCAGAAAAACAACAGAACTCTGGCCAATAAGACAGTTTCCAAATCTGTCCTCCCACCAGAAAATAAGTAGTAAAATTTATTTTGCCAGCATAATTAGAGAATGAGGGGTTTCAGAAAAATGATAATTCCAGATAAGTAAACCTTAGGGTCTGTATGTTAGTTAATGCTTTTCAGAGTTTATAGTACACTTCCTGTTGCAACTGAGTATCTTTAATGCCTGAAGGTCATACTTATCAATATCTAATATCCATTCATGTATTCTTATGTTCTTGGGGAGTAGACCTATCTGCCCCAAATTAAATGGCTTCCAATTGCTATGCTTTCTAAAGAGTTTTGTAAGTGCCTTTTCTAGGTGTCTGACCTTCAGCTGTGATTCCTTGCTGTGGTCACAAAGTCAGCTCTGGAATTCCTATATTTTAATGTGATGCTCCTAAGAGGCTATTGACTATGAAACAATACAATTTACATAGAGTTCAATTAAATGCAGTTGCCAGAAATCTGACTGCCAGAAAAGTGGGGTCATTCATGGAAGGGACACTACCCTTTTTCACCATCATGATTAATGGCCACTTCCATGACAAGTGAAAATTCTTAATTCTACTCAAGCTCTTAATCTACAAGGGGAAACTGTGAATGCAAATCCTTTTAGGGAAAGAACCCAAATTAACTACCCCGTGTGTTTCCTTCATGCAGCCTGGACTTCTGATTGTCCACTTGTGAAAACTGGGCGGAATACATTTCTACCAGTTTAGCTGCTTGTATTTAAAGTCAATGTTTCCAGGGGCGCCTGGGTGGCTTAGTCGGTTAAGCGTCCGACTTTCGCTTAGGTCATGATCTCGCGGTTCGTGGGTTCGAGCCCCGCGTCGGGCTCTGTGCTGACTGCCAGCTCAGAGCCTG